TGCCCGGCCCGCCGCGCGCTCCCCCCCCGCCGCTGCGGACCCGCTCTGCCCGCAGCAGCACAGCTTTGCTGTTGGGCCGGTCAGAGGACTCATCCAGGCTCCTTTTCATTTTTTCCTGATTATTTTTAACCCAGGCAGTTCCCCGATCTGGTTCCCAGCCTAGCTCACGAGGTTTTCCCGCCCAGCCGAGGAACGGTGCTCCGTGTCACCGGGGCCACTCCGAGGGGCAGAAGCGCCGTGTCATTGAACCGTGCTTTGGGAAGGGTTACACACCGGGACAGGCTGTCAGAGCGGGTGGTGGACTCTGTCGCCGGGACTTGCTGTGAAGCCCGAGAGATTTTCTGTGCTGTGCACCAGCTCAGGCATACCTCGGTGTCTTCCACGCAACGACAAGCGGCTGGAACCTCACACATCGCATGCGACCCATCAGCTGATAGGAGCTCTGCTAGCCTGAGTTTGCCCAGACAAACCCGATGACCGTAGTAATGAAATATTTGATACCCGTTGGCAGCCAGTGGGACTCAGGCTCTCGGGTGGCTCGTATTGTTTTCCAGTTCTGTGTTCACCCCGCCAACGTCTTAACCTCTGTAGAACTGAAGCAGCGGAAGATTCATCTGGTGATGGGAGTTTTCTGTAGCCAACTTCTCTGAGATTTCTGGAGCTGCATAGGCTGGACTTGCTTTTCCAGGCCTAGTGCAAAGCTTCCCGTGATAACCAGGTTTCCCAGGGCTGGTGCAAGCGCCGTGGTGTACAGGGTGTCCTGTGAACAAGTGTAGGTGAAGTGTTTCCACACAGGAGTGACTGGTTCTCTCTGGTGGCTCCAGGGTTACGGTGAACAGGGAGCACATTGGAAACGTTCTTTGGGGAAATGTCACTAAGAAAACTAAGGGAGTTTTAACAAAATGTAAGTATCTAGGTCACGCAGAGAGTTTTCTAGCCAAGCGTGAATTATGTTGTTAACCTTCCACGGCTGCTGTGTTTCACCGGTACTGTGCGAGACCCTCATCTTGCTTTCTCTTTCTAATTCCTCAGCTGCCAGAGTGTCCTAGGACATGTGTTTAGACTTAGAAACAGGCCCAGATAGGTAGAGTCCTTTTTCTTGTTAGACTATTATAATTTTAAAGGAAGGTTGATGACATTTTGCAATAATCAATTACAGAGATTACCGTATCTTAACTCATTCGTATTTGGGTTTCTGCTCTGAAGGCGATGGTTTCTGCGCCTTGCTATTAAAGACAGCAGAATTCAAACTCTGTCTTCTTGCAGGTAGCTTGGAAGCTGGCACAGATGGCTGAGCTTGTTCAGAGGGAGAGCAGCAACTACCTGGCGAAAGGGGCAGAGACTCCCGGCACGCGTGCACAGCTCTGAAGCAGGAGGTAGAGAACACTGCTCTTTTCCAGCACACACCTCATACCGAGGTGAAATAGTCACGGTCCTGGATGCCTGCAAGGGAAGGCTGCTCTGAACCGCAGGGCTCCAGCAGCCGGCGGGGCGGGAGCGGCCGGCACGCCACGCAGGGTGGTACCAAAGTGGCACCTCAGCAGTTCTGGTCCTTTATTGTCCTGCTCTGAGCCAGCACAAAACTGAATTCTGTTCTTAACGGACATTTCCAGACCTCACAGGGACGCGTTTTCTCGGAGTCGTCCCGTTTCCCAGTGTTTTCCTCCCTGGGGGAACCAGCCGTGGTGGTGTGAGCGCTGGAGCGGTTACGGGTATTGTTATTTCAGCTATTCATAACGTTCAGCCGTGCCCTTTCTTAACGGGGGCTGGTTAGTTCCCTCGCAGTTGCACATCCTGCCCACAACTGGCACTCGTGTTGATGTGCAGGCAGGAAGTTCCTCCCTCTGAAGCAATCATGGAGTGAGAAAGAGCTTGAGGGTTTGATGCTATTTTAAGAATAGTTTCTCAGGCAGCTAGATTCAGTGAAAGAGATGTTTTCTGAGGTTTTATTTCAGCTAACCGTTGGCAGAACCATATAAAAATGTTGAACTTGACCAACGAGACCAACACAACTCAAGAACAACCTGCTAAGAGAGATTAGTATAGGTTTTCATCAACATGAAAGCCAGCAGAGCTTACAGGAGGTGAATTTTGTTGAGCAGGAAACAGTTTGAGCTTACATTGTCAATGGATAGAGCGTAAAAGAAAAACAATAAATTGCTCATTACTGTAGGAAACTTGCTAATCCAGAGAGGCAGAATCTGCCCCACAGTAGAAAAGTGAAAACACAGTGACTAATCACACCCTGAAGAGGAGCAGCCTCTGTTGCCTTCCTGCAAAAGGGGTAAAGTTGCTGATAATAGCAAGTTTTCTTCCCCAGCCGTGTTGACGCCTGGGTTGTAATTTAGATTGGCTTGCTAGGAGATGTCTTACTAGCAGAGCGGATGAAAAAAATACAGGAGAACCTTAGTTTCTCTGGGAAGCTCTGGAAGGGAATTCCATGGGAGCAAAGATCGAGAGCAAGTGAGGACAGACTACGAAGAACATGAAAAAAGGGGATGAGAAGAGATCCACAAAACACAGGGGGAAAGGTGAGGTGTTTAGAGCTACAAAGAGACACCTGCCTACAATGTTTCAGGAGAAGATGCATGTAGTAGGTAACAGTGGCTCCTATTTGTTGCGAAAATGTGGTTCGGAAAAAGTCTTAACATCATTTTATTTAGGGAACAGGGGTTAAGGGAGAAAAGAACGAAACACATTCTGGAGATGGGAGCTGCCCGTGGCTGCGAGCAGGCAGCATCTTCACGTGTTTAGTGCTGGCTGCTGCTCACGTGTGTTTGCGTGAACGGGTGAAAGAGGCAGTGTCTTAACACCAACCTTTCTGTCATTTCAGATGAAGATGTTTTGCTGTTAAAGCAGTTTGATCACAGAGGGTTCCAGCTGAAAACCACAACGGGACAACACCACAGCAAGATGCCTGCAGGCTCGACTTCTGCTTGACATGGCCTTGTTCTACTAGACCTGCCATGACGGCATTTTTTCCCAGTGTTCCCAACTGGATTCAAGATGCAAAGCAGGAGGAGGAAGAGACAGGCTGGAAATTAGTCCCCAGACCAAGAGGTGAAGAGACCGAAAGTCAGGGAAAATGCCAGTGTGAAATATCGGAGGCCTCCTTCACGAACGTGGACAAGCTGAGAACTCACGCACTGTCTCACGCTGAGCAGAGGCCGTACAACTGCCCGCAGCTGCACTGTGGCAAAGCCTTTGCTTCTAAGTACAAGCTGTATAGGTAGGTAACTGCCGGGTGCCTCTGCCGAACAGTGCTCCCCTACCAGAAGAGAGGGGAAAACCCCTGCATCGTGTTTTTTTGCTTGAATTTCTGAGAAGGTGGAGGAGGGGGAATGCCCTTGTTACCTTGCGCACTCACTTGAGTCCCAGACGTTACCATACTTGGCTTCTCTTTAAGCACCTTCCAGACAACCTCAGATAATACTTTATCCTGAGCTCAAGGTGTTCTCTGTTTTACTAAGGAGGAAATTGAAGCAGAAAGTGAAGTTCACAGATTAAAAACCAAAATGAAAAGCAAGGATAACATTCACATTTCATAAGCCCTACCTCTGACTTTAATCACAGGAATATTTCTGTGGCAGCTATTGTTCTAGCATGAAGAAATAGAGTTCCTGTTCATGTACTGAAATATAGCGTAGAATAATTAAACGATACGAGCGCTAGGAACTTGAAACCAGATGAGCCACAGTGTCAGAGAGCGTCAGATACCCAGGTGAAATCGGTCCGCAGTGGCTGTCAGCAGCCATTGCCACAGTCTGATGCCACCTGATGAAATGAAGCCGTCTCACCAGCAGACAAACATTTCTTGTCAGAAACTGCCAAGGTTTTCCTTGCCGTTGCCCCCTTTGACAGCCTCAGCAGAGAGCACAGGAGCCGAGTAGACAACGGAGGTGTACCTGTGCGGAGGGGATGCGTTCTAGGGAGGCCGGGCACTGCCGAGACAGACCCTGTGCCTGGAGAGTCCCTGCTGCCCAGGCTGTGGTGGTAAAATGCCAGCTGGGATTTTTGTGGCATAAAGTGTAGAACACAAGGAAATTTTTGAAAAAGTAGCGTGCGTTCTCTTAGCGGCCGGCTGCTAGTCTAAACTTTCCTGCTTTTCTCCCAAAAGGCATATGGCCACGCACTCTGCTCAGAAGCCTCACCAGTGTATGTACTGCGAGAAGATGTTCCACCGCAAAGATCACCTTCGCAACCACCTCCAGACCCACGATCCCAACAAGGAGGCCCTGCACTGTCCCGAGTGTGGCAAGAACTACAACACGAAGCTCGGCTTCAGGCGACATCTGGCCATGCACGCAGCTGCCAGCGGCGATCTCAGCTGCAAGGTATGCCTCCAGACGTTCGAAAGCACCCAGGTCCTGCTGGAGCACCTCAAAGCTCATTCTAGGCGGGCTTCTGGTGGAGCGAAGGAAAAGAAGCATCCGTGTGACCACTGCGATAGGCGCTTCTACACCCGGAAAGACGTGCGGAGACACTTGGTGGTGCACACGGGGCGGAAGGACTTCTTGTGCCAGTACTGTGCTCAGAGGTTTGGGAGGAAAGATCATCTGACCAGGCACATGAAGAAAAGCCACTCCCAGGAACTGCTGAAGATTAAGACAGAGCCGGTTGACATGCTGGGTCTCCTAAGCTGCAGCTCAACTGTAGCAGTGAAAGAAGAGCTGAGTCCCGTCCTGTGTATGGCATCCAGAGACATGATAGGTGGCAAGAGCTTCCCTGGCATGTTGCCTGTGGGCATGTACAGCACGCACCTCCAGACCATGCCGAGCTCAGGGATGCCCCATTCTTTGGTTCCTAATTCTCTTCCCATGGGAATGAGCTATCCTCTGGAGTCGTCTTCTCCCATCTCCTCCCCGCCGCAACCTCCTCCAAAGTATCAGCTTGGATCTACCTCATATTTGCCTGAGAAAGTACCCAAAGTAGAGGTGGACAGCTTTTTGTCAGACTTCCCTGGCAGCCTGTCTCTCTCGTCTGGTGAGCCTCAGTCCTCTTCGCCTCAGCCACCCCCCCTGGATGAGGCTTTGCTTTCCAAGAGCCCTGCTAACCTTTCAGAGGCTCTCTGTGCTGCTAACGTGGACTTCTCTCATCTTCTTGGCTTCCTCCCCCTAAATCTTCCCCCTTGCAACCCACCTGGATCGTCAGGGGGGTTGGTTATGGGCTACTCGCAGGGGGAGACACAGCCACTGCTTACCACTTTGCAACACCAACCTCAAGAATCTCCCGGAGCTGGGGCCTCGCTGAACTTTGGGCCCCTTCATTCATTGCCCCCTGTCTTCACCTCCAGCTTGAGCACAACCACGCTGCCACGTTTCCACCAGGCATTCCAATAAGCTGAAAACAGCACTGGAGAACAGACCTTTCCGTCACCCTTTGGTGGAGAGCCTTAAAACGCACAACTCTTACTTCCCTTTGGGGTGTGAAAGCTTTGCAAAGCTGTTTCAGACAGGAGGTTTCTGATCTCCGGAGGGAGCACTTGTAGACTGGAACAGCAGATAGCCCCGTGCGAGTCCCAGTCCTGTACAGCGAAAAGATCTCAGCTAATAGACTGGATATATTTTATCTAATTTTTAATCTGTGAATCAGGAGCCGCGCTTAGCACTGACCTTCCCTGAGATCCCAGAGCTATGTTCCTCTTTGGGAAGGGACTGTCCCTGAGAAGGAGTTGAGACTCTTTCATCTTGGGCTAAACTTTTGAAGAGTCCAGCTTCCATTTCATGTTACCACACTGCAGTTCTGGCAAAACGGCCAACACCTCCACACGGAGAAGGAGGAGAAGTCAGGATACCCGCCCTGTGTGAAGCCAACGGGGAAGAGGCTGTGCTTCCCCACTACCTCTCATCCCATCACCGAATACAGCTTACTCCACCGAACGCAGCTTACTCCATGTCAGTGTTAAGCAACAAGACCGTTTACATGATGAATTCAGAGACTTCACCTCATTCTTCTTCGCGGAGCCGTTAGGTTAAACTCATTACAGTGAACATTGTTTACACAACACAAATCTGTTTCTGCCATTACAAAAATAGGAGGCACCAGAATACGCTGGGTTTATCTCTGGTGTAGCTAGAACACTGTTTACACAACGAAGTCAGGTTGCACTGATTTCTCTTCACTTACCATGTTCTTCCCCCATGGGGAAATACACTGCTTTCTGGGCCGCTTCAGCCTCCACCGCTGCAGGCAGCCGCTTCCTGCGTTTTCTCTCTGGCTATCCACGTGTCAAGGGGATGGAGCAGCGCTCACAGCTTCGCTTGGGCTTGTGGTGTGTGGATAGAGCCCTCTCAGATACCTCCCCCAGGCAAACAGATCTGGAAACCAAACCGCGTGAAGAAGCCAGGTTAGGGGCCGGGGGCCGGCAGCGTTGAGTACTGCCATACCCGGCGTGGCCGAGCCCAGGCTGCAGGCCTCCGCTCCGCAGGTTCCCTTGCGATGAGGAGCAGAGTACGAGTCTCTAGGTTGTTTTACCACAGCAGTTCCGCGAGGTCAGTACCCGTTTGGCTTATCCATGAAGCAGTCTCAAGAGAGACGTTTTTACCTCCATCCTAGGGTGATAACATCCAGGAATCGGGAGGGAAAATTGGCCCCAGCTTCATGTACACTCCATCAGTGTATTTGAAGCATTTTCCCCAACACTAATAGTTCTCACAAACATGCTGAGGGTTTGGGCCTGCAGTCACCCTTTCACGTCAGATTTGGTTCCACTGGCCTTTTAGTTCTCCTTCTCGAGCCTTGTCTCCTGAAGTTAAAGTCCTGCTTCCCCTGCTCGCTGCCTCACCTCTTAAGCTCCTCCGCGGACTGGCTCGCTGCTGAGGGCAGGAGGGTTACACTGGGACGCGGCAGCCAGCTGCTGGTGTCGTTCAGCATCTGTAGCACCCTCGGCGCTCATCTTCCTCGGCCCTTGTGCTGCGGTGGGTAACGTACGGAGGTCGACCTCGCTGTAGGTTGGTGCGTGTTTGTGAATACAGACACGCGGCTCTTCATACCTCAGCGTGGAGGAACCATCGTAGGGCAACAGAAACCAGGAAATCAGGCAATATTGTTCTCCATAAATTAAAAAACACAAAGTCTACCTCTGCTCTGTTACCGCAGCTCCTTCAGCGAAGCCCGATTCGCAGCTCCTCCAGCGCAGCCCGGGGCTGCCCTCCCTCAGCTCCCCGAGTGCAGCCGTCGCAGTCCGCGCATACTGCGCTCTGCTGAGCCCCGCGTCCCACCGCGGGACATCGGCCGTGCCTCGTTTGTTCATAGGCTTGTCCCCCGTCCGTTTTACTCAAGAATTTTATTTTTAATTTAGCTTAGTAAGTCTTCCCAGAGTGACTGTTTAGCGATCCATTGATTCTCCAAAACCTAGATCATTGTTTTAGGTTAGCCAGCCATGCTGCAAACCATACTTTTGTATCAAAATGTAATATAAGATTTATTTACCTCAGCAATATCCTGTGGCAATGATCTCCCCGAGTTAAATGCAGTACTTCCTTTTCTCCACTGTAAAATGTTGCCTTTCGAAGTTCAGCGAGTGCCTTCTTGTTCTCTAACGTAGAGAAGGTAAACGGGGCGCTTCAGCTGGGCTCCGTTTACCGACGTTGAATACCTCAGGCCTGTCCTACTGCTCTGCTCTTGGCAAATTAAAGAGTGTCACACTGTTATCAATGATATGCAAGCCTTATCCCTGCCTTCAGTTGAGAGGAAATTTTTTTTTTTTAAGAGAAATAAATGGTCAGAACCGATCTCTTACTGCGAGTGAGGGTTGTCAGGTTTGTGCAGTGCCATCGTACACCTTCCTCTGCGTCAGACCGTTCAGCTTTGTGCCTGCATTGTACTCCGAGCAGACGTCAGCACTGGAATTCCTTTAGCAGTGGTAGCTAAACTTAGAGCCAGGCGTCTTTTTTTCCTACCAGTAGTCTGTCAAAGAATAAACAGAATTCATTTTGCTATTATTTGCACGTGTGATTTGCTTTCCACAGCTCTTCTGTGCAGAATTGCTGTGCCATTTGTCAATGAAAAAGTCTAAACCAGCACAGGGCGCGTGTTCAGAGGCCGCGCGCTGGAGCCGGTGCTGGGTGTCTGCACTGGGAAATGGATTCAAAGTTCCCGCTCCACAACAGGGTTTATAATCTGCAAGTATTTTATCAGCCAGTCTGAAACGTGAGGCTGCTGCCACTTGAAGTGCTAAGTGTGCCTTTCACAAAACACGGCATTTCCTGAAGCAGGTAGTGAGCAGCTTCTACCTGCTTGTAAGAAGAAACTTCGAGCATCTCGGCTACACCACTTGGGAATCCGGGCTCAGTGGGAAGTCTGCACCGAGCTCAGCGGACGTCAGCTTAGACGAGCTCCTGCCCACGCAGCTGTGGGTCAGATCCAGCGGTGACCTTGCCAGGACGATCGCTGCGGCACAGCCTGGAGACCTGTTGTGTTGTGTCCGTGCAGGGCCTTGGTGGTGAGGGCACGGCGGCCGTTCTGTGCTGGGGGAAAAGGCTTCATCCCAGAAAGGGTTTGGCGCTTGGTTTGGGGTGTTTTTAATCCAAGGTTTAGGGACGGTTAAGTCAACACAGCTCTTTCTCCCCTAAGGCCTTCACCAGCGTAGGGCACAGGAGCCTGCGGGGAAGGGAGGTGGGCGTGAAGCAGAGACGCAGAGCAGCAGTGTCGTGAGCACAGGGCCAGGCGCCGCAGTGGCACGCGGGCATCCTGTGGCCGATCACCGAGGACCACGCGTTAGGGGCTGCAGGTACAGGACACCGCGGCGACTCAGCCAGGACAAAGGCACAAGAAGTCATCTGGGGAGGCACGAAATGGTTGTGACGGCGCAGAGGAGGGTTTGAAGCAGCGTCTTCCAGGAGGCTCAGCGGAGAGAGGAGGCAGCAAGCGAGCCTGGGCTTTACACCCAGACAGGGCAGCGGAGCAGCGCGGGGGTGGCCGACACCGAGTGCCAGCTGCACGGATGCGAGACAACTGTCCGGACTGGCGCGATTCCCCCGTGGTGACGGACACTGGAGCAGTCTCCGACTCTCGTCCCACCGCCGGCGCGCCAGGCAGCCACCAAGGAGGGAGAGCATTTGAAGTGCGGCGTGAAGGAGCTCTTCCGTGGCAGAGCCCTGCGAGCCGCCCCGTGATGATGTCTGTGTGCCAGGCAGCTCCGTGTCGGAAAGGTGGCGTCTGGCTGAGCCCAGAGGAGCAACTACAGCCAATAATTGTTAGGAGGGTTTAGTTAGGTAAAGAGATATTTTGAAGTGTGGCTGACTTGGGGGGCATTCAGGACCAACAGGAACAGTGCAGGCAACTAAGACATAAAATCACAGAGCTGGAGTCTGTGGAAGGACAGGATGTGAACGTGCCAGCCGTGATAAATCAGAGCCTGGAGTCTCAGAAGGACAGAACACCCCACCAGAAATAGGAATGATTCCAGCTCACTCGTTAGAAAATACAGCAGGCGAAACATTTCGGTGGCAGCAGAGGGTGAACTCACCTAGCCAGGCCTGAGCTGTGCGACAGTCTGAAGGTCTTTATCCCCATGGGATGAGAGCTCGCTCAAAATCCATTTGTGTGAAGGAACAGCGTGTTAACTTGCATTTGCTGCCACCGAATTTCGCTTGACAGACCATCCCCGTACGGCGCTGTGACGGCCGCTGCGCAGCCCTCTCACAGTAGTGCCTGCTCTGTAGCCTCGGCGTTGGAAAATGGTGTCACGACAAGGGGAATCCCTTTCATCCCTCCGGTAGATTGATGATTTCAGGACTTCTGTTGGGAGCTCAGCTCTTTGTTCTCTGATTCCTTCCTTGCTGACAGGTGAATAGCAGCTGCTTGGCAGATTTCCCGCGGTTCACTGAAAAATACCCGCTGCCTTTCTCTGCCATCGCGTCGCCTTTGCTATCTGGAAAGAATAACCCCGCAGAGGCATTTTCTACTGCCTGCAATTTAAATTTTTACAAAGAAATCTTCAAAGATGCACTCCCCATCACCCTACCTTCTTGCTTATCCTCTCTAATCCTGGTTACTCAGGCTCACAGAGTTCTCCCTCGGGTGCCTATTGGTAGCTAATTGCCTGCCCAAGCCCTGTAGATACTCTGCCACTGAAAAGCGAAGTGGAGGAATCCAAGTAGAACAGCTCCAACAGAACCATGTCGTTAAAACTTCACACGTTTCCACCTTTATCCAAAATTTGCCTCTTTTTCGTAACTTATTTCTTGTATTTTTCCCAAATCTCAGAGACGGGAATCGCCATCTGAAGCTCTGACTGCAGCCCTGCCCGACACCTGCCTGCGAGGGGACGGCGGCTTGGGGCAGCCTGGTCTGCTGGACCTGGACCTCCCCCCGCCACGTCTGCGGTGCGAGCAGA